ATCTCAAAATCAATAAATTAAAAAACATAAAAAGAGCATATCAATATATATTGATTATATATATATATATATCTTTTATTTATCAATTTTTATATAATTATATTCTCCAAAAACATTTTTCTCTAAACTATATTTTTAATTATAATTTTAATTACATTATTTCGATGTATGTGTATTTATTTGGTAATGCGACAAAGAAAATAAAATTGAGCGCGGCGTAAGTTTATGTATCATACATGGTCTAAGAATTTAATCCATGGATGCTATTATGTATTCTAATTTTTTGTTGTTGTTGGAAAATAATTTTTTGATTAATATTCTTACACATATTTGCTATTATGGAATGGCTACCAAACTGATTAGTTAGCCCTAATATGTAATATTATAAAATAATCTAATAGTTATATTTAAATAAATGTGTAACAGTATAATTTTACATTGAAGATAAATTTACTCTTTTCGGATCTTATTGTTTACTTCATATTCTTCTCTTTTTCCTCATTCCTTGCAACTTTTGCTTTTTCTCCATAACATATACTTTTCTTCTTTTGCTTGTTCTTGTTTTTCTCTATAGCATCTTTTTGTTTTTCATCTTCTTTATTTTTGTATATTTTTTTGTTTAAAAAACCTATAATTATGATTATGGTAACTATTTAATTTTAATTCAAATTTAAAAATTATATTAGAAAATAATATTTCAAGCCTTTCATCTCTTTCTCTATTTAAATAACACCTAATATATATCACTATTTCTTGCCGTCATCAACTCACTTTTATTAAAAGGTAACTAATTAATATTTGCTACAACTTTCACATACTGAACATTTTCAATGCCAAATTCTTTATATGCCCATATATAATTCAAATTTCTTATTTCAACAACGTTTTAACATTAAACAACATATGTTATATGATTATCAGTGATGATACTATATATTAAAAGCAGAAAGACAACAAAATAAATATAACTCAATCTTTTAATACTAAATGGCATGATCGACAATCCTCTTATCTTTTGGATAAAAACTACATATGTGGATCAATTAACAAGACACTTTTTTTGTTGCACAAATCTATATATGTGTTGATGACATAGGTTTTTACTCAACGAATAATTTTCTGAAAGGTGAATTTTTTTTTTTTAAAAAAAAAACAATGATGCCGGAGGAATTTGAGATAAGAATGGTGGTTCATATGATATATCAAGTCTACAATTGAACTAAGGCTATGAAATTGAAATTGGTTTTCACTTGTGTTAGAAATTTGAAGGAAAATAATGAAATTGTCTTTTTTTATCATCAAAATAAAGGGGTCTATACACAAAACGGATTCGATAGACTCAAATATAAGTAATCTAATCAATGGATAATGTAACACCCCCAGTTGGCTCATACTGGAAATGCTACCGTCACACTGCATCATGAGGTCGTCACCTCCTACTTCGGGCCCCACAATACAGTATTAAGGCTAAAATTACCATATAAGCACATTATTATATAACAGAATCTGATTTATGAATATTTACAAAACACACCCCATAACATGAGGTTTTTCCGCTTAAAAATTTATATATAATACAATGGACGTAAGGTCATTCACTCAGCCCATCTTTCTATATGTCGAGACGTCCCATGTCTCGGATGTGCCATGCATACCTGAAACAAATATTTTCTTAGAAGCAGTCCAGAATTAAATCCATTTTAAGAACTAACGTGAAATATGTCATTTCACACCTTTTTAAAATAAAGTCTAATTCCCGTTAATCATAAAATACGAGTCATGTCATGCCAATAGTGAAATGATGCAATACAGATATCAAACTCGACAGCAATGCACACTCACATATATATATCCGCCAAAGTGAGCAGCCGGAATAACCTCGGCTCCATAATCATAGGCTCACTACATCTGTCTAAGTGAGCAGCCGGAATACCCTCGGCCCCGTAATAACAAGCTCACTAGACCATCATCAATAAATAGCCGGAAAATCCTCGGCTCAAGGAAGGACCTGATAAATCCATAATAATATAACGGTCATCCGGTCACTTCCATATACCCACCATACCACTCCCACAATCAATACATGGATAGCCGAACGTTGTCGCCATTAACCACAAGATGCCCCATAGTCTGTGATAGCGAAGATAGGACCCCCGTTGACTAGCCCTATCCCGTGTAATGTAGTAGAATCCGTGCAACCTGGAATCACCCAAGGGAAACCCGGAAACTCTACTCTTCCTCGCGCGCCCTAACGTGATCACATTTGGAGTTTGGCATATGATCCTAACTACCGGTAGACCTCACTAGTAGCTACTCCAATGAGTGGAACAACACCGAACACGAATGCTTAGACCAAAATACGTCTCAACTACCATGGGTCTAATCCCTGAATGACCGTGCGACTAAGTCACCCAGTTGTCCGACTACTATCGTCCACTATCGCCAAAGTGTTACGGTACATCGGAGTCGAATATCCTAACCCCAGATGATGCCCTCGCCTAGCACTACCGCACACGGCGACTAGACGATAGATCCACAAATCATATCCGATAAATCGTGCAATATGTGTGCACATGCCAAATAAGTGAATTTACCGAAAAGGGCTGGTGAGACAGCTCACCTATCCTTCTTTTCATAAATTCACCAATGCGATCAAATACGTATATCAAATATCATAAACCATGAAGTCTCCCACATGCATACACACACATAATATCTAAATTTTTTCACCTAAATCTCTTCCAACGTATACCTGTTCCATTATTTACTCAATTCAGCTGAGCTATATGCTTATTCATAGGAGCTACCTGCTTATTCAAAAGCTAATTTCTATAATTAACTCGTTGGGTTTCAAACTTTTATATTTAGTATAATACGATATTATAGCTATAAAACTCTTATACCTCCTACTATTTATATCGCCCGATTATTAAATAAAAATATTTAAAGATATGAATAAACAGGCCGGTGCAATACACTGCCGTTTTCAATTCAGCTCGAATCGATACGAAATTCTCAGAATATAATACTAGGACTACGAATAGGCTATTAGCTAAAGAAATTCATCGATCAAATAGCCAAATAGCCGGTTATGAATTTTTTAAAGAATTTTTGATTTAATATTCCCAATATTGAAATTCATATTAAAATTCATAATTAAATTCTACGTATAACAAGGAATACAATACTGAAATTGGAATCAAAATCGAACGGCTAAATTTTTTTCTTTCTTCTTTTCTTTTTCTCCTTTCTTCTCCTTCGCGTTTCTTCCTCTGCCTTCCTTCGCTTCGCAGGTAAGTTTGCTTGTTTTATATATATAATTATATTATTATTATATATATATGTTTTATATATATTATATTATATTATATTATATTATATTATTATTATTAACGTTATTATTATTATTATAAATATTATCTTTATCATCATTACCTTTATTATTATTATTATATTATTATATATTTTATATTTTATATTTATATTTATATTTATCGATATTTATCCGTTTAATAATCTTTTCAATTATAATTAATATATAAAATAGGAATAAAATTTATCCCAAAATATTAATTTCTTGATTCCAAAATATTATAAAAATATTTATTTGCTATAATAATATTATTTTATACATTCTAAAATTGGGGCATTACAATTCACTCCCCCTTAAAAGATTTCGTCTTCGAAATCTAAACTCAAACGCATAACAACACTACTTAATTAAAAAAATGTGGGTATGCTTTGAGCATCTCTTGTTCTACTTCCCACGTGGCCTCTTCTGCTCCATGCCGGGACCACATTACCTTCACCATACGAATATCTCGGTTCCTCGTAGTTCGAACCTTTGTGTCCATGATCCAAAGAGGCATTTCCTCATATGAAATATCCTCATTTAGCTCTAACTCATCGGGAGATAAAATATGAGAAGGATCTGCGACATACCTACGAAGCTGTGATACATGGAACATATTATGAATTCATTCCATACAATTAGGAAGTGCTAACCGATAAGCCCAATCTCCAACTCGATCGAGGATTTCATAGAGTCCAACATAACGCGGACTCAATTTTCCTTTAATTCCAAATCTTCTAATACTTTTCATTGGAGATACTTTTACCAGGACGAAATCTCCACTTTGAAATTGACCTTCACGTCGGGCTTTATCGGCATAATTTTTTTGACGATCTTGAGCTATTTTCATCTTCTCCCTGATAATTCGAATCTTTTTTTTTTTTTTGATTCTTTGATCATTTCTGGACCTAATATCAGTCGATCACTCATGTCATCCCAACTTAAAGGAGTTCTGCATCTTCGTCCATAAAGAGCTTCAAAGGAGCCATTCCAATACTTGTTTGATAACTATTATTATATGAGAATTCCACTAAATCCAAGTGGTCCTCCCAATTTCCTTGAAATTCTATTGCACAAGCTCTTAGCATATCTTCCAGAATACGGATAGTTCGCTCTGATTGACCATCATTCATTGGATGAAATGCAGTACTCATATGCAACTGAGTACCAAAGGCTTCTTGCAATTTTTGCCAAAATCGAGATTGAAAACGTGGATCACCATCCGGTATGATTACCTCAGGAATACCTTGTCGTTTAACCACATGATGAACATATAATTTGGCCAACTTCTGCATGCTCCAAGTCATACGTACTGGGATGAACACTGCTGATTTAGTCAATCTATCTATAATCACCCAAATTGCATCTGTTTTCAACTTCGCCCTTGGAAGTCCTGTCACAAAATCCATTGCAATAGAATCCCATTTCCAAAGCGGAACTTCTAAAGGTCGTAACAACCCCATTGGTCTATGATGTTCTGCTTTTACCTTTTGGCAGTTTAAACATTGTGCAACGAATTTGACTACATCCTTCTTCATGCCCTTCCACCAAAATGTTGACGTAAGTCTTGATACATTTTAATCCTTCCTGGATGCACTGAATGTGGTGTATTATGAGCCTCACTCATAATTTTCTCCTTCAAATCGCTTCAGTCGTTTGGGATACACCACCTCCCATGGAATCGAAGACTCCCATCAGAAGCAATATTAAAGTTTTGAGTCTGACCGCACTGAACTTTTATAGCCAACTTGACCATCTTATTATCTTCCATTTGAGCCGCTCTAATATGATCATAACTTTCAGGCTCAACTTGCATCATTTGCAAATATCCCCGCGTCATGCCCCGTCCAAGTACTTCAATTTCCATCAGTGCTAAATCTTGACACAGTTCATCGGCAACTGACATATAACCCAACTTATGCCTTGGTTTTCGACTCAAGGCATCGGCTACAACATTTTCTTTGCCTTCATGATATACAATTTCGAGATCATAATCCTTCACCAATTCTAAACATCTTCTTTCTCTTAATTAATTCTCTTTGGGTGAAGATATATTTCAGACTCTGATGGTCAGTAAACATTCTACAATGGGCACCATAAAGATAGTGCCTCCAAATCTTCAAAGCAAACACAACTGTTGCCATCTCCAGGTCATGTGTAGGATAATTCTCTTCATGAGGTTTTAGTTGTCGTGACGCATAAGCAATAACTCTTTGATTCTGCATTAAGACGCATCCCAATCCCCTTTTTGAAGCATCACTATAAACTTCAAAATCCCCACCCTCTACTGGTAAAGCCAAGATTGGTGCTGAAGTTAATCGATGTTTCAATTCTAAGAAAGAAAACTCACACTCACGATCCCAATTAATCATTGTGTCCTTCTTCAGCAAATTAGTTAATGGCTTCACAACCTTAAAAAAATCAAGAACGAATCTTCGGTAATTCACTGCCAAACCCAAAAAACTTCTTACTTCTGATTGATTGGTAGGTCTTGGCCAATCCGAGATTGCCGCAACTTTAGAAGGATCTACTGAGATACCCTTACCAGACACTACATGCCCCAAGAAAGCAACCTTTTTCAACCAAAACTCACATTTGGATAACTTGGCATATAACTTCCTCGCACGCAGTGGGTTTAGTGTCACACGCAAATGTTTTGCATGTGTCTTTTTATCTGGAGAATATACCAAGATATAATCGATAAATATCACCACAAACTGATCGAGGTATGGTTGAAAAATTCGATTCATCAATTCCATAAACGCAGCCGGGGCATTGGTCAACCCAAAAGACATAACCGTAAATTCATAATGACCGTATCTAGTGCAAAAAGCTGTCTTAGGAATATCATGCTCTGCAACCCTTAGTTGATAATATCCAGACCTCAAGTCAATCTTGGAGAATACACTTGCACCTCTCAGTTGATCAAATAGATCATCAATTCTCGGAAGAGGATATTTGTTCTTTACCGTTACTTTATTCAGCCCCCGGTAGTCAATGCACAACCTCAAGCTTCCATCTTTCTTTTTCACAAATAAAACTGGAGCACCCCAAGGCGATGTACTAGGACGAATGTAAATTTATCCAATAATTCCTGTAGTTGTAATTTAAGTTCAGCGAGTTCTAACGGTGCCATGCGATACGGAGCTCTCGATACTGGCTCGGCTCCTGACACAATATCAATAGTAAAATCCACCTCACGAGCTGGTGGCATACCAGGAATATCATCAGGAAATACATCAGGAAAATCTCGAACCACAGGAATATTTTGTAATCGCTGTTCCCCTTGCTTCAAATCTCTTACCTCACACAGATACACTGGATACCCCTTACGAATAAGTTATTGAAATGATAGGGATGAAATTACCTTCATAGAAGGTTGTCTTGCAGATCCTGCATAGCTCACTTGTTCACCCATCGCTCCAACCAACGAAATTGATCTTTTACGACAATCAAATTGAGCTTGATATGCCATTAACCAATCCATCCCCAGTATCACATTGAACTCGGATAACTTCATACTCAACAAGTTAGTAGCAAAATCAACTCCCCCAATACTAACTGGAATTTGCATATAGAGTTCTCGGCACTCCAGTACTTCTCCTGATGGAAGTAAAACTTCCACTACCACTTCTACTGATGAATTCAGACCCAATCTTTTAACCAAACGTTTAGATATGAACGAGAACGTTGCACCCGAATCAAATAACACAAGAGCTGACAAACCGCAAACAAGAAATCTACCCGTTAAAACCTTACCTAGGTGATGATCAGCCTCTGTTTGGGTAACCACATTTATTCTGCCACGCTGGTCAGGTCCTCTGCCTAGCTGCCTAGATGATGGACGTGACTGGCTTCGACCACCTCGCCATGATGGTCCTAATCCTCTCCCCTGTGACTATGAAAATGACGGCTGCCATGGCCTAAATCTCGGTTCTGGAAACTCCCTTGTAGTTACCACACTTGGGCATAGCCTGGCAATATGACCACTACCACCACACTTAAAACATGTTAATGGAACTTTATCACAACGGGTACCTGAATGACTTGTTCCACAACATCAACAAACAACCCTCGATTGTTGAAACCTCTTTTGACTCGGTTCTTTAATCGAAATCCCTTTATACGATGGCCCCGACCTGAATATTTGCCACCATTTATTTTTACCCTTTGGTTCATCCTCTACCTCAGCTTTTCCTTTATCTCGAAACTGATGTTGATACCCCATTTCCTTCTCACTGCCCTTCTGCCTGACTTCTTGCTTCTGATAGAATCGAGCAGCACGCTCGTAAGCCTCATACAACGAACTGATATCCAACACAGCTAAAGCTTCTTGAATCCTCTGCTGCAACCCATCTACAAAATGATCAACTCTATCTCTCTCACAGGAAAAATAGTCAGGAACATACATCTCCAACTCATTGAACTTTACAAAATAGTCCTCGACTGACATCGAACCCTGCTTCAAGTCCAGAAACTCTTGCTTCTTTGCTTTTCGAACATGAGACGGTATAAACCTAGCTTTTAATTTTGCTTTAAACTCATCCCAAGTCATATCCACTTGGTCCACTCCCGCAGCTTCCTCACCTAACCACCACCGATTTGCTCGACCTTCCAAGAAATAAGCCCCGATATTGGTTCGTTGATCTGGTGGAACCTGAACAACACGAAATATCTTTTCCATCTTTTCAACCCAGAACTCAAGAACTCCAGGCTCTACGGAACCAGAATATATTGGCGGGTTATGCCGCATCACAGCATCAATAAAACTTCTCTGTTGAGGCATCATCGCAGTTTATGGCTGTCGGAAGAAATCTGGACTAGGTGCCTCTATTTATACATACTCTAGCACAAAATATTATGACTTATCAAATGAAGGATCTATCTCTGGGCCTCGAATAGCCCTACATAAACCATCACCTCGAGAATTTGACATACTGCCCCCCCGACTTCCCTGATTCAATATCAACTCAGCAACAAACCTAAACCAAATATAACATTAAACCATAAACCACATTAACATGAATGCACCCACAAAACCCAAACCTCGCCAAACCACTTCAATATCATCATTATTTTCAAAACCTTTTTAATCCAAAGAGCCAAAATCTACCAAACCTAGGCTCTGATACCAACTTGTAACACCCCTAATTGGCTCATACTGGAAATGCTACTGCCACACTGCATCATGAGGTCGTCACCTCCTACTTCGGGCTCCACAATACAGTGTTAAGGCTAAAATTACCATAAAAGCGCATTATTATATAACAGAATCTGATTTATGAATATTTACAAAACACACCCCATAACAAGAGGTTTTTCCGGTTAAAAATTTATATATAATACAATAGACGTAAGTTCACTCACTCAGCCTATCTTTCTGTATCTCGAGACGCCCCCTGTCTCGGATGTGCCATGCATACCTGGAAAAAATATTTTCTTAGAAGCAGTCCAGAATTAAATCCATTTTAAGAACTAACGTGAAATATGCCATTTCACACCTTCTTAAAATAAAGTCTAATTCCCATTAATCATAAAATACGTGTCATGTCATGCCAATAGTGAAATGATGCCATACAGATATCAAACTCGACAACAATGCACACTCACATATATATATATCCGTCAAAGTGAGCAGCCGGAATAACCTCGGCTCCATAATCATAGGCTCACTACAGTCTAAGTGAGCAGCCAGAATACCCTCGGCCCCGTAATAACAAGCTCACTAGACCATCATCAATAAATAGCCGGAAAATCCTCGGCTCAAGGAAGGACCTGATAAATCCATAATAATATAACGGTCATCCGGTCACTTCCATATACCCACCATACCACTCCCACTATCAATACATGGATAGCCGAACGTTGTCGTCATTAACCACAAGACGCCCCATAGTCTGTGATAGTGAAGATAGGACCCCCGCTGACTAGCCCTATCCCGTGTACTGTAGTAGAATCCGTGCAACCTGGAATCACCCAAGGGAAAGCCCGAAACTCTACTCCTCCTCGCGCGCCCTAACGGGATCACATTTGGAGTTTGGCATATGATCCTAACTACCGGTAGACCTCACTAGTAGCTACTCCAATGAGTGGAACAACACCGAACACGAATGATTAGACCAAAATACGTCTCAACTACCATGGGTCTAATCCTTGAATGACCGTGCGACTAAGTCACCCAGTTGTCCGACTACTATCGTCCACTATCGCCAAAATGTTACGGTACATCGGAGTCGAATATTCTAACCCCAGATGATGCCCTCGCCTAGCACTACCGCACACGGCGACTAGACGATAGATCCACAAATCATATCTGATAAATCGTGCAATATATGTGCAACATGCCAAATAAGTGAATTTACCGAAAAGGGCTGGTGAGACAGCTCACCTATCCTCCTTCTCATAAATTCACCAATGCGATCAAATACGTATATCAAATATCATAAACCATGAAGTTTCTCACATGCATACGCACACATATATATATAAATATATACATGCACTGACAAAATAATTCACATAATATCACATTAGCATATTAATCAGAATCGCATGCAACATGCATACCTAAATTTTCTTAAAATTAGATTTAATTCCTTACTGCTTACCTCTTGTCGACACTCCCTAGCTTTCGCAATTTCACCTAAATCTCTTCCAACGTACACCTGTTCCATTATTTACTCAATTCAGCTGAGCTATATGCTTATTCATAGGAGCTACCTGCTTATTCAAAAGCTAATTTCTATAATTAACTCGTTGGGTATCAAACTTTTATATTTAGTAGAATACGATATTATAGCTATAAAACTCTTATACCTCCTACTATTTATATCGCCCGATTATTAAATAAAAATACTTAAAGATATGAATAAACAGGCCGGTGCAATACACTGTCGTTTTCAATTTAGCTCGGATCGATACGAAATTCTCAAAATATAATACTTGGACTACGAATAGGCTATTAGCTAAAGAAATTCGTCGATCAAATAGCCAAATAGCCGGTTATGAATTTTTTAAAGAATTTCTAATTTAATAATCTCAATATTGAAATTCATATTAAAATCCATAATTAAATTCTACGTATAACAAGAAATACAATATCGAAGTCGGAATCAAAATCGAACGGCTAAATCTTTTTCTTTCTTCTTTTCTTTTTCTCCTTTCTTCTCCTTCGCGTTTCTTCCTCTGCCTTCCTTCGCTTCGCAGGTAAGTTTGCTTGTTTTATATATATAATTGTATATATTATATTATTATTATTATAAATATTATCTTCATCATCATTACCTTTATTATTATTATTATTATATTATTTATATTTTATATTTATATTTATCGATATTTATCCGTTTAACAGTCTTTTCAATCATAATTAATATATAAAATAGAAATAAAATTTATCCCAGAATATTAATTTCTTGATTCCAAAATATTATAAAAATATTTATTTGCTATAATAATATTATTTTATACATTCTAAAATCGGGGCATTAAAGATAAAACCAAATATAAATATATATCTACGAAATTTAAAACCGAATATCTAAAGTATCTTAACATCCTCCCTCAAACTCAATTATTATAATATAAACTAACTTGAATTTGATAAGAAAGTTGAATATAGATGTAAAAAACGCAAATAAAAATAACAGTTACTTGTCGGCCGCTGCCATCGCCGCTCTACTGTGTTAAAGGCAAAAACAATGCTTTCAACTGAATTAGAGTCGAATATAACAGAACTCACAATGAAGTCAAAAAAAATATGACTATCTACTGGAGCTGAAAACGACATAACTCTCTACCAGAGGCGGGCTCTCTACTGAGCCGAAAATGACATGACTCTCTACCAGAGCTGGGCTCTCTACTCGAGCCGAAAATGATATGACTCTCTATTGGAGCCAAAGACGACGGAAGTACTCTCCACAAAGTTGGAAATAACGGGACTTCATAACAATCAGAAATATAGCTCTGGAGAAACGCGGCAAACAGATCGAAGAATCGCAGACAGATGCGCAAACATGACTTCAATTGTAGATAAAATTAAGATTCAAAACATAATTAAAATCATAAACAAAAAGACTAGAAATCATGGTCAAAATCTCAAAATTCTAAGATCTCCAGGTTGGTAGGCTATATCTAAGACCATATCCAACCCATTACTTCATTTTTTGCAATAGCTACAGTAAATATGCAGTTGATCTACAGTAATTTTACTCCGACCATAAACTTCAATTTTCACTCTAAAAAGTATATTCCCTATATATTCTTCTTTTATATTATTTTATATAACTTTTTATATTTATAATTTACACCCCAACTTTAATTTATTTTTACAATATAACCCATATTTTGGCACAGCATTTTGCAGTGGGTTGGAGTTGCTCTAAGGAATGAAAAAAATAGTCTCTGATACCATATTAGAAATTTGGGGAAAAATAATGAGGTTGTCTTTTTGTATCATCAAAATAAGGGGGCCTATATACAAAACGGACTCGATAGACTCAAATATAAGTAATCTAATCTATTGATAAGACCAAATCTAAATATAAATCTACTAAGTCTAAAGTTGAATATCTAAAATATGTCAACAACTTGAATTAATTGGCTACACAGATTTATATTGGACTGGAAGTTGCGATGATACAAAAAGTACTTCTGCAGGTTATTTTTTTGTTAAGTATAATCTTGTTATCTAGCGTTAGATAAGAAAATTTTAATTGCTCTATCAACTATGGAAACTGATTGCATAGCCGTTAGAAGTTGTTGTGCACAATTTTATGGTTGAAGTAAAGGCTATAAGATTATGGCATAATTAAAGATCAATGTATAGTCAATTGTAACATCATGAGAACGATTAATATATCAAAGAATCCAATTCAACATGTGCGAACCAAATACATTGATATTATACACCATATTATTAAATATTAAGTAGAGTATGAAATATGGTCTTTACACCGTATTGAGACATTCATCCAAAAAACTAATATATTAATAAAGGCACTCGATGTTTAAGTGTTTAAATTTTTTTAATAAGAAATATGGGTCTTCTCAGCCTTTACTAATAAGGATCTTTATGTATGAATTTTATTCTTAATTCTTAAGCTTGATGATATGATGAATTGATGATCTACATTCTAAATTTAATTGATTTTGGAAAAAATCATAAAAAATATTTTAAAATTTGAAAAACTATGTCACAACATAAGGATGTCATCATATCAGTTTGACAGTCTAACAAATAAGTCATATATTCTCCCAGCTAATTTCAAATTCAAAATCTATCAGTTAGGATTATATTTTCAATTAAGATTTGAAGGTTTATTCATCTTTATATATAAATAGAATGATTGAAGTTTTGATTCAAAGATTAGTCGTGATTATTCAGATAAAAGTTGTCATTAAAAATCATTTTGATTTATTTTTCTCTTGATACTATGGTGGAAGCTCGATGTGTAAAAGATATTCAAATTCCTACATATACCCTATCTCACACATGGAAGATTAAGAAGAATAAATCTATTGAAAGTTTTTTTGTTCAGGAAGGTCATATTCGACCCAAGGCTGAAACTCAAGCCTCAATGACCGCACTTGAACTAGTCTAAAAAGAAACTACTTTTGAAATTCAAGGACATAAACACCAAGTTCTAGACACTCTTATTGCAGAATAAAAATATCCTATAGATGAGAGATCTAAGGACGTTGAGGAAAATATTGTTTATGAACTAGACTAAGTTCAAGGAGTTGTTACAACTAATGTGGATATTGTTGTTGAAGATGGTAATATTATTGAATTAGACTATGAGAGAGATAGAACTCAAGTTGCTCGAGAATAAAAATTGTTCCTGAACAAATAGAATAATGTGAAAGGATTCAAAAGCTACATAGTCAATTGAAGCTCATGTAAAGCAATTTATTGCTCTATGTAAGTTAAAGAACAACGTGATAGACAAGAAATAAGAACTTTCAAAGTACAACTAGAAGAGAAACTGGATGATGATATTCCGCTTATTCAACTCTTAGTCAGAAGTCAAAATAAAAGTAATATTGTGTCAAATAAAAAAGTTGTTCTTTTAAGAAGGCCATTGCTTCAAGGAAATCTAATGAGAATAAAGAAAAATTGGAATCTATTCCGGCTACTCCAATTTTTTCTAATGCTTTTGATAATTTATACTTCATTGAAAATGTGAAAGAGTATGATAAAGATGTGCTGCAAATTAGTTAATTTCGACCCAATGTGAGGTTTGATAATGCTTTGTACAACGATATTGTATTTGAATATTTTTCTGAGGAAAGGAATCTTAACTTTTTTGCCTATGAAAGTATGTCCCTAAACTTATTTGAGGGTCTATATTAGCCTACCAAAGAACTTTTTGAATTTAAAGTCACACTTAGTACCACAAAGTTTGCATTCAAGATGAGTTTTACTCACTTACCCCACATATTGTTAATGATGCATTACCACTGCCTACAAGCACCCTATTGTACTTGTCATCTCATTATCGAAGGAGAATTAAGTAAATGGCCTTGATTTCCACATCACCGCTGGAAAAAAAATGAAACAAAAAAAAAGAACTTTGGAAACAATACTTAAAAGCCCATCTACTTTAACAATAAAGTACAACTACTTATTTAGATTTTGTTCACTGAACATCTATCCAACATCAAAAGCATTTACACTGAATAGGGCTATGGGTAAAACAAATATTTAATTGATTTGTGTCCTAATAATTTGAGTTATGATATAACTGTGTTGAAGAAGACATTGGATTATGTTCCCGAATGAATTTATGAAAAGTACTTGATTGCCCTATCCTGCTCTGATTACATTACCGTTAGAGCAGTTTGAAGTGCTTTTCACTCTGTCTGAAGATATTCTTAGGGTGAAGTCTCACATTCTATTAAACTTTATAACAAAATTGTATATTGATTTAAAGAATGAACCATTATTTTTCAGTGATGCCTAAGGAATATGGTGATAAAACAAGATAAGAAACTTGCTTATATATCCGATGGGATTGCCGTAGAGAATAAATTTTGGTAGGGGATTCTAAGAATAATATTATTTGATGTCCCGCGCTATCCCTTTGGTGAAGAAGATCTTCATTCTAGAGAAGACCAATATTTTGACTCATTTCACCCAAGAAATGGGAGTATTATCGAATATATTTCTAAATGGGAGTTTGCTGAAACTTGAAATAGATTTACTTAACCACTGGAACACCTCTAGAGATTCTATTGCTCCTGACCATTATTTTTTTTCCTAGCTCTAATTTTTTTGTTTCTACTTGAACATTGATCTAAGTTTATAGACTCTCTAAATTTAGCTCTAATTATCTATATTTTATAGCTTAGGATGACTGCACTTTTATTAAGCTTTTTTTTTTCCATTTGTTTCAAACTTTGATGCTTTTGTAATGACAGACAAGTATGAACTGTTAATTAAAAAAATCCTAAGTGTGTGCGTATGTGTGTGAAATAGGTGATAATGTGATCTTAATGAGTTTGAGTTACATTAGACAAAATAGGGGCTTTGTTGGAAAATGTAATTTGGTTTGGACTAATGTATCCCACGTTCTACATGGTCAGGATATGATGTTGTGAAATAGACCAGAAGGTATGTCAAATTTTGAAATTGAGATAAAATCAATTAGATCAGAATAAATAT